AGTTATTTAATAATTAACTGTGAATTAATAAATTGAGGATGATTTCTAATCTATAAAAATAAATCTTCAGGTTGGAATATCAGCTAATATAGTACTTTCAAACAAAAAAACACTAGCAAAACTATGTTTTATATTCTTAATCTTTCAATAAATAAAGGTATATTTTCTAATATATTAAAAGTAGCTAAAGTTTACCCAATTTATAAAGGCAATGATAGTTCCGATATTTCATATTATATACCTATATCAGTATTATCCATTTTCTCAAAAATGTTTGAACGCGTTATGTATAATAGAATTTGTAACCATTTTGCAAAAAACAAACTCTTTTACCCCAAACAGTTTGGTTTCCAGAAAATTACTCCAACTGAGCATCAATTAATGAGTTGGCGAAATAACCAACGGGTTTGAAAAAAATCAGTTCACACTTGGAATATATATAGATCTATCATTTGCATTTGACACAGTAGATCACTCCATTTTTTTAGAAAAGTTAAATTACTATGGTGTAACAAACAAAACGTTTAGTTGGGTTAAAAGTTACATTACTAACCGAAAACAGTATGTAATCAATCTGGGTTCTGGTACATTAAGAATTTTATGTGAAGTTCAACAAGGTTTAAATCTCGGCCCTCTTCTATTTCTAATTTATATGAACGACTTCTGCAATGTATCTGAAAAATTAAATTCAATTATATATGCTGATGATACTAACTTATTTATGTCAAATAATGATATTAATCAGCTATATGGAGGTATGACCCAGCAAGGAAAAATACGTATATTATACATATAAAATACGTCTTTGTCCTACTCTTCGATACGTATATTCTAATTCTTAAATGCAAATCTATAATACGTATTAATTAGATGATTACAATGCGTTGGTAATAGACGTATAATATACGTATTTAAAATACGTCTCAGATATCTATAATTTAAGTATTAAATGCAAATCTATAATTCGTATTAATTAGATAAATAAAATGCGTTGATAATAGACGTATATAAGACGTATTTAAAATTATTAGGTTTCTATAATTTCTGTATTAAATGCAAATCTGTTTATTTATAGATGTCAAATCTGTAATACATGTTCGCAAAATGAAGAGTAGATTGTTGTATTATCTACCGTTGTATAATTATTGCGGAAATAGATTAATTTCTATCTTCGCAGCCATTGTTTTACCACAAAAATTGTGTTGTACAACCGACGTTAATTTGTGCAACTATGCTAGACAACGTTTCCATTATAAAACAAAGTTGTTACAGAACTGTTGTACAACATTTCTACAACTATTGGAAACCAAGCTTAAAAGAACATTAAAACATTTTGAATTGTATAATATTATTGTTTATTTATTTAAAATAAGTAACTATATACTATAACATAAACTATATACATATAATATAATATAAATGTTAGATATCAATGGAATGGTTCAATCTTCCTGGTGCATTCTTTAGTTTATTCCCGACAACTCTAAATAATTCTTTTTCACTAACGGTATACCTGTCTTGTAACGCTTCTAAAATAAGTTAAGCAAAAATATTTAAAATTAAAAATATCGTCAGCTTAATATATATATAGTTGAATACGACACTTAAGTGTCGCATTTATCATTTTTGAAAAAAATGACTATGTACAATATAAATTGTATCTCACCAAACATAACGTCCTTTAACTTAAGGTTTTCAAACGATATTTTGTTTTCTCTGCCTTTACGTTTACTCCCTTTAATGTTCATATTCGCCATCAGGTTTACGGAAAATAATCTAAAATCGAAAAAATATTAAAGGTAAGATCTGAAGGTGAGATCTGAATGTTGTTAAATTCATTCTTGTTTACCGCTTATTTTGACTGTTATTGTATAAAAAAATGTAATTTAAAAAAAAGCTGCAACAAATTGTTTTAAAACAAATCAATCAGAACGCATAAAAAGTAAGTAGTGATTTTTTGGAAAACAAAAAGTGAAAACGCTATATTTTTCTTTGGATTTTACCTCAATACACTGAGTTTCTAAATTAAAATCCTTATTCATTTGTATGTTCATTTTAAAAAATGTGTATATTATTCTATATATTAAATCTACATATTATTTATCGTATATCTTACATTTTTTTACAAAAATTATGCTTTCTTAATTAAAAATAGAAAATAAAACATACTTTCCCAACATATTTCTGGTACAATCTGCCATATCCACACCACCAATATTCTTCAGTTTAGATAACTAAAAAAAAACGTTATTTAAAGCTTATTTAAGAAGTTTTCAACCCCTTTCTAAATAGACTGTTTAAAAGATATGATGTGTATGCTTTATTCAATATCCATTATTGTTATTATTTCGCAGTGGAAGCTATTAAAGTTCCACCACTTATATGGAACCATCAGGCCGTAATAGTCTTAAGAGAAGCAAGAAATATTTTATATAAGTGCAAGGAAGTGCAAGATAAATTATAATATTTGGACAGATGTCCAGAATTAAGAGTTGTTGTTTAAAAGAAGGGTACTATTCAGTAATTAAGTTTGAGTTAAGTAAGTGGTGGTCATGTTAGATTTAAGTACGTGTTGTTGCAGTGTTCTGTAAGTTATTGTGTTTTGTGTTTGTATTGTTCTAAACGTTAAAGTTTTATGTGTCATTTAGTGTTTTTATTGCTTTGAATCTGTGTGTTCGTAAATAATGGTTCTTAGTCTCGCTCAGTCCAGTCTTATCATGTTCTCTTTACATATCAGGTTCGCAACTAGAATAAGTGAGTATAGTCACTAGTGGAACATATTTAGACGTAAATGCCTTAGACGCATGCAAACGTGCAAAAATACCTTAAAAGCATGCAACCTTATAATAAAAATATTCGTTTTAAATTTAGTTTATATACTCAAAGATCGACAAACACAATAGTTCTGTTTATTTATATGCAACCCGAATACCTTCAGCCACAGATAAAAACAAAAGAATATCTAAGTAAACCTATCTGAATTTATCAGATAAATATTCAAAAACATTTAACAAAAATCAAAACAATTATTAACAATTGCTATCGTTGTGGTAAGCATAATGTGATACACAATTAACCTAATATAACACAATTACTCAATTCTTAAGATAAAAAGTACAACTTTAAAGCAGAAGTATTACAACAAACAACAAAAACAAACATTTAATATAAAGTGGAAACGCGCGCATGATTGTTTAAAGAAAGAAAATAAAAATACATCAGCGTTAAAATAAAATTCAAAATTATGTAGTATAATACCAGATTCTCGTCAGGAAGTGGACATTGTATTGATCCTTATAAAGATAATACTCTGGTATTTGACGTTTCGAATGTTTTAATGCTCATTTCTAGAAACTCCCGTCGGGGTAACATCCTCAAAACAAGCAAATAAAACCCAGCTCTACGTCTGCGTCAAAGCCTTCTTATGTTGCAACATTTGAGAGGACATACTACTGCTCAGCCAAATACCCTAACTTGATCCATTTTAAACAAATTACGCTGATATACTTTTTAGAAAATTATTAAAACACGTTGCGCAAGAAGTAACATTAGAATACAAAAAACTTATAAGTTAAATTATTCCTAAATACTCAAGTACAAATTGAAGGCAAACAAACACACAACAAAATAAAAAACAATTAAGATAAAAGACTTACCATAATTTGATATTGAATAAGAATAAGTCTTGAAGGATATTTTGCGCAATGCCAATGAGCAGTTTATAGAGCGCATGTAAATTGTGATATTATACACAGATGTTGTATGACGTAAATTTGCGGTTAATCAAAATATCCCTCAAGCGAAGCCTCAGTAAATAATAACGCTATTGGTCAAAAAATATCTTAATTGATTGGAGGATGAAAGTGTAAGGTGATTGGTTAATAATGTTGTGTTTAGAGAACATAAAAAATAAAAAAGAGAGAACATTCAAAAGTGTCCTAAATTATTAAGATAATAAATTTTATAATAATATGATTAACTAAATCACTTGAGTGATTTAGTTAACCATATTATGGTCCATAATTATGGACCATAATATGGTTAACTAAATCAAAATTACAATAGTAATTTTATTTTAAAATGATATTAAAAAAGTTAACTGGAGAATAGAGTAACAACCAAGAACGTAAAGATGTACAAAAAGCTGTCTATAAATCGAGTCAATAAATAAGAAGCAATAGCTGAATAACAACATTTATTTTTTACAATTAGTATTTATCTTTATTCAAATATATTCGACTAAAGGTCGTCTTCAAAAGACGTTCAGAATACACATTTTTTTCGCATGCCTTTGTGGTCTCAAATAAAAACTTCAAAAAAAAGTATTTAAAACATTTTTTAATGATGACTTTAGTCTTTTAAAGACGTTTTAAACACGTATTATATTTGTTTGCGAAAGATATCTTTCATATATAGAAATAATACGTATTTAATACGTCTCTTAAAGATAAGTTTTATATTCAGCTAAAACTCATCTTGAAAATTCGTTTTTTATGCGTATTTTTATCGTCTACTCTAGAAAAGATGTGAATAATATTAAAATAATACGTATTGAATACGTCTTGTCCTTGCTGGGGAGTATTGAATCAATGAAATCAAGATGAGATGCATAAACTCACTCTATACACTCGAAGCACATCTTGAAAGAGAACGTTGGAGTATACTCAGATAAGCAAGGCAAGCGTTTTCATTTAAAATAATGGATTTTAAACGTTTTTATTAAAGACTGTATAACGAAAACATGATGGAGTACTGCATACTTCGTAGCAGCTAAAATTTACGCTTGCAAATCGAGAAAATATATTTAATTCTGAAGGTTTTTAAGTAATTTTTTTACTGTCTTTGTCTATTCAATATGCAATTGTTTTCTATTTAATCTGCAATTGCTGTCTATTCAAATATTGTCTATTCAATATGCAATCGTTTCTAAACAAATCGAATGTAAAAAAGTTTTTTTGTTTTGTCTTAATAAAAGCGAATTTACTTTGTGCTGTGGTCATAAAATCAAAGCATAAAATTAAATGTTGAAATATAACATTTGAATCTAAAGAAAAATATCGTGCTACATAATGCTATTTTTAGTTGAAAGTAAGACATGAGCCATAATTTTTAGTTGAAAGTAAGACATGAGCCATAATTTAAAAAATTTCAAGCTTACTGTTACTTTTTTTTCAAGTAACATAAAATTTAATTTTTTAAAAAAGACCTAATAATGCTTTTTTTTTAAATATGTTATTAAAATACATAAAGAAGTAAAATGAAATAAAATATTAAAAATATTTTTTTCTCTCTTAATTCATTTTAAATAACGTAGCGAAAGAAAAAAGACTTATTAACGCTTTACCGTTTGCACAACGTAAAAATGTGAATACCGCCTGAGATTTTTTATATTATTAAAATGAGGCAAACCTATAATACCTTATAAAAACAAAAGATATATATATATATATATATATATATATATATATATATATATATATATATATATATATATATATATATATATATATTAAGGAAGAAAAAACAACTTTTTCTATGGTATTTTTAGTTTCATGTCATTTTGTATATTTAACAAGTTTTCACCCTTATATATTGAAATAAGGAATTTTTCGTATAAGCAAAGATTGCAAATTTTTGACGAGGAGTTATAGGGATTGCAACGTTTCACAATTTTCCACTCAATTAAGGGTATAAACAATTTGTCTTTTATGTCCCAAATTTCTTTAGACAACTTGGTACCTTTTTTATATTTATTAATGTTAAAAGATTTTATGTGATTAGCATACCGAGATTTGAATGGAGTTTCACATAAGCCAAAATATACTTTTTCTTTGTAGTCAGGTTTATTTGACGATATAGTGGTTTGATAAACGATGTTCTTTGTCAAGCACTGATTGTTAATGGGGCAGATGGATTTTTTGACGCAATTGCATGTTATTCCCTCATCTTTACCTTGGCTATACAGTATCCTGTGATTGTGCGAATTAATGATGGACTTAATGTTTGGCATACGTGAGTAACTTATTTTAATAGTATTTCGATTAAATATCTTGCGAAGTTTGTGACCAACCGGAAAGTGCAAGTCGACCATGTTCAAAAAACGACTGCCTATTTTTGTTGCAACATTGGTACTGAAAGGTGGGTTGTACCAGATTATATTTTGCTTGTGATTTTTGAATGGACAAATTACTTTTCAGACCACAACATTCAACATAACCCGACAAGAAATGTATATTTGGCTCACATGTGGTCATAGTGCTTTTGTGTGGATTAAAAGTGCAAAAATATATTTCAGTTGATGAATGACGTATTTGATGAAGATAAGTGTGGCCCACATGTGGAACGCATAATGCGGTTCACATAGCTATTCCACTTAATGTGACATAATCATTAAATAAATACGTGCTAAATTTGATGTGGCTATCAAATGGGTCATACGTATAAAACTCACGATCTTGCCTCATTTTGAATTTTAAATTTTAACCAATTGCAATAATTCTATCGCAATGCATTGTAAACTCTAGAATATTCCATGATATCATGTGGCTTACCGTTTTGATAATTTTCAATACATAACTGTTGTAATATGTTTGAGAGATAAAAATAAATATTTATAAATGAAAAATTGTAAGTATATAAAATAAAAAACAAAAGCCTAGGTGTGTTAGGACTTTTACTTATTGTAATATTTGTTATCATTACTAAACTAAGTTTATTATCAATTTGTTATCATTACTAAACTAAGTTTTTTTTTATGTGATTTTATGTGTGATTTAGATTATATAACGGAATATTGTTAAAAGAATAACATTTAAAACTATATTACTTATATATAGGGCCTTACCAAGGGGGGTGTGGGCCCTCCCTACCCGACAAGAAATGTATATGTGGCCCACATGTGGGCCACTCTTCAGCCAGCTGTCATTTCTTTAAGCTTATAAAATAATTTTATTAAAAACAAGCGTAAACAAGTTAATGAAAAAAATTTTAAATAATTATTTTAAATGTGAAAATGAAAATATTTATATAAACATGGACTTACACTTATTGATTACAATCAACAAATGTAAGTTTTTATTTTCTTAAATTAGATAAAATTTTACTAGGTTTTAATAATTAATATAAAACTATTTTAGGCATCAACACCTAGTAGCCAACCATTACTGCCAATACCACGCCATGCTGTAAGTATTAAACATGTTGCTTGATAGCAATACTTAAACTTAAAATTTGTTAAAGTTATTATTAGATATTAAAATTTGATGAATGACTAGAATGTTTTTCGAGAGATCCAACACCAAGGAAAATCTACTCAAAGCTTCGTGTCATTAGCAAACGATCCTGAAGAAATAAATTTACCTTCAGTAAGCTTTTTGTAAATTTTATTTCAGTAATTATAAATTTGCTGTTAAGTAGAACAGTTATAATTAATGATCATTAAATTAAAATATGCATAAATGTAATTAAACTAGAAAATTATATTTTTAAAATTGTTTATGTTGATATATTAAAAATATATTTAAAATATATTTTGTTAGGAGTTCTTGCCAATCCCTCACACCGAAAACTCCACTCACACCCTTACACCAATCACATAGACAATTGAATACCGATTGTCTTCTATTGAAAACCTACATAAAGGTAAAAAATCTTTTAAAGTACATATATTAGTTTTTTTTTTTTAAAATACTTATAACAATTTCATTTGATTTAGTAAAGTCTGTAACTTCTGCGACAAAAGAGATTAAACATCTGACAGAGCGTATGCCAATAGGTCATACTGAAGAAAGTTTATTCAAGAAATCAAGAGTTAAATGCTGTGTTGCTGCAATGTTAGGATGAAGAAATGACCTCTCTTTTTGCAAGTTTTACTTAAATATTATTGAAATACTTTTAAATTAAAACTCCGGTTGCATCAATTGAAAATCAATTGAAAAATTAAATATTCGAATATTTAACCTTTATTTATATAATATAAAATTTTGTTTTTATATAACTTTTACTCATATATAAATTTTATTTTTTAGTAATCACTTATATATTTATGTATGTATTTATACACCTTTGTATACTTTTAAATTGTTCACTTTCTTTTTCTGAATGAAAATTAACTGGCTTGCAACAGCAGGTGGAAAATATATATCTGATATGGTACGAAACATTTTGAATGTTTTCATGACTGATGAGTTACAAATGAATTGTTGTCGTACTGGGAAACCCTCAAACAAATAAATTTTGTAAATTTATTGCAAGTAAGTAAAGTAGCTATTCCATTAGAGTTCACCGTTTGTCAAATTTCATACTTATTAATAAAGTTGACTTTAACCCTTAACAAATAAACTATTTTGTATCAACAAAATAATAAATAACAATAAACTGATTTTAGTTGCTGTTCGAAGGCATTGCAAAAATGCTACAGACAAAGATGTCAATGAAGCCATCACCGCTGCACTGCATAACTCAGCAGATCGTGGTGGTAGACGTATGCATCGAGAGAAGAATGAATAAATAAATTTTTAGAAAAGTTATTGTATTCTTATATGTTTGTAAATGAATTTATAACAAAAAGCAAGAAGAATATTATTTTTCATATATTTAAATATATATGATTTGAATGTTGACATCTTGTATGAGAGTATATTTGTTAAAAATATAAAAGCATCAATTAATACGAGTTCTCTCAATACTATTGTTAATTTAAATTAACAATAGTTTTGAGAGAACTCGTATTAATTAATGTTTTTATATTTTTAATATATATATATATATATATATATATATATATATATATATATATATATATATATATATATATATATATATATATATATATATATATCAATTTTCCTGTAAAAATGTAATGCGACGTTCGTTCTTTTTCAGAGTGGTTTTGAGCGATATAAGTATTATAGCCACACGTGGGCCACTCCAACGCCATCCCATAATGTGAAGTGTTAAATATATGGCTAATATATGCTTCCTACACGTGGGTCACATGAACCTTTGCGCACAAATAAAGCGTGGCTTTTCTTTTTATTTAGTGTGGTTTTAGTGAGATAAACATTATAGCCACATATGGGACGCATCAACGCCATCCCATAAAGGAGAGTGGTAAATATATGGCTAACATGTGCTTGCCACACGTAGGCCACATGAAACTTTTACGCACAAATGAGGCGTGGCGTTCGTTCTTATTTAGTGTGGTTTTAGTGGGATAAACATTATAGCCATATATGGGACGCATCAACGCCATCCCATAAAGGAGAGTGGTAAGCATATGGTTAGCACGCAAATGCCATATATGGCCAACATTAAAATTTCTTGTCGGGAAACTTTTTTTATATCTATACTAACTTGCTTTATAACTCTTCTTCTGTTTGTTCTATATAAAGCAGCCATCTAAAATATTATTGGAATAAAACTTAGTATCAGCTGCATCATAATGTATATTTTTAGTAGCCTAATATTATTATTCGATACTAATACAAAAAAAAAAAACAACTTTTATCATCTAATATTCGACGGTAAATAATTTAAAGTTCTTTACAGATAATTTTAACTCAAATCAACGGATTCTTAGGTCAGTTCAAATATTGTATTGAATATTGTAAATGATATTAACATCATAAATGATATTAAGAAATAATAATTAAGTATAAGGATTTTGACCTAGAAAAATATATCTTTTAAAATAAAATAAAAGATAAAATGTAGTCTGGGGGCAAAATATGGCAGCTTTATAAATGAGTTAAAGCACAACTTTGTAGATTCTCCTGCAATCAATGCTGCTCCATAGCAACTGCACAATTTTACCCCAGACACTCATGTAAATTTTGGTACCCTTACGTTCTTGATAAATTATACTCTCTAAAATAATTTAGATAAATTTCTTTACAAGTTACGTAAACACCTAAAATATATTTTTGTGTTGTATTAGTGTGATTTCTTTTTACAACCACCTTGTCAAGTGATGCAATCTTTTTTGATTCCTTTATTACCACTTCTTTTTTTGATTCAATCATTTTATGTTCCGAGGACCACTTCTTCCAATGTGTAATTCGATCTGTTTATGCTTTAAAACAATTCCTTCACAACTTTTTTTGCATAACATAATTTATAGCTTACTAAAAACAAAACTTTATACAAATTTAGCTAAATCATTTCATAATTTCGTATAAAAATGTTTGAAAATGATGCTTTAAAAATGTAATTATTAACTACAAACAGATTAACAAAATAGTTATTATCTACAAACAGATAAATAGTTATTAACTACAAACAGATAAATAGATATTAACTACAAAAAGATAAATAGTAATTAACTACAAACAGATAAATAGTTATCAATTATTTAAGTAAACACTTATTTTAAAGAAAAAATCAAATACTTTGTATTTATATTTCATATTTATACATTTATACATGTTTGTATCATGTTTTTATGATTTAGTGTTATATTTAAAAACTAAATACTTATTATTTTAAATTTATAGCAATTAAGTTCTAAATAAATACACAAAGTATTTTCTACTACTCATAAATAAAATTTCTTGTAATAATTATTAAAATTATTTTGAAATATCGTTCAAAATATATATAAAAGTTAATATAAAAATATAAAAGTTATTGCATATAAATTAGGTACGCGGAAATACGTGTTTTACGGAACCGAATTTTGTGCTAAAATTCTGTGCCAGGTTTTTTGAACTTTTTTTAGGTAACGTCAGACGAACGTTTTTTTGTGGTATTTATTTTTAGAAACATTACTAAACTTAGATTATTTTTTGAAAAAAAGAATAGTTAAACTTGATTAATATATAATATTTATGTGTGGTTGGTAATTTTTGTATTGCTTTTTTTTGAATTAAAAACTTGGTTGTTGTTATTTAAACATTAAATTATTGTCGAAGAAATGCTCAGATAGTTTGCAAACCTACCCAGATAGTTTTTTACATATATTTTTTATCTACTTACCAAATTTCATTGGAAAAATATTATTTAGCAGTCTATAAAAGTGAGCAGTTTTGGTACCTCATTTCTGTTTTTCTGATTTCCGTAAGTGGTGTTTTTCTGATTTCTGGGTGATAAGAGGGGTACGAATAAATTGAATTTTATTAGGTTAATTTAGTAATTATTTATGTTATATGTATAATATATATATATATATATATATATATATATATATATATATATATATATATATATATATATATATATATATATATATATATATATATATATATATATATATATATATATATATATATATATATATTAATACAATTAGATATAGACAGTAAAATAATGTTTTTTTTTTCGTTTTTTTTTGCAGTAATTTATTAGATTTTTTATATTAATTAATATTAGTTTGTATATTTTCACTAGTTTATTTTATTTTAAAAGTGAAAATTACCATTTATTTTAGTGTGACTTGTTAATAGTTGCTAAAATTTTATTGGTTTCATTGAAATTGAAAACATAAGCGTTGATTACTATAATTCTAGCTATAGGTATGCATGATATTTTAAAAATAATTTTGCCTATTGTAAACATTTGCAATGTATCTTTTGAATTTTTTTTATATTATCACATGTTTTATGTTGTCAGTATACATTGGCATTTTTGTGTGTGTATAAATAGTGTTTTTAATTATGCAATAATATGGTATTATTAAAAATATTTTTAATAATATTTTAATAATAAGTTAATAGTATATTATTAATCGGTAGTTATACAAGACTTTCTTTACATTTTTTTTAGACGGCAATGGGCACAAAAAGCAACCTTATTTTTTGTTCGTAGTGCAGTTAAAGAGTATTTAGATACAGACTTTTTATTACCTGCCAAAACAATCAATTGATGTAAAAATAGACATGTACCTTTTTTTATTCATTAACAGTGGTAAGTCATTTATTATAACTATTTAACTAGTCAATGACTTATTTAATTTAAATATTAGTTAACCACAAATCTTTAGCGTTTTGAAAAGATACAAAAATTGGTTTTGCAACTTTACAAGGGATAGTAATCGTTTTAAAGAATTTTGTAATGAACCCTGTGTTTGCATTGCATCAATCTTCCCCATCTTTCCATCATCGAGTCCAAATTCCAAGTAGTTTTCTTACTACTGTTTAAGTAGTTTAGAAAATTTATCACTTGAACACATAAGTAATTTATCACAACTAAATAGCAAGCCTTTATTTTCTGAACATTCTATAAATAATTTACAGAATTGGCATGAATCAAGAGGAGAAATGAGCCCTAGCAAAAAAAGGTTTGAATACCAAATTGTCTTGTTTAACTTCTCAGCTTGCTGTTACATCCAGCATGCATTGAAAAAAATTAGCAATAGTGAGGGCAAAATTGAAAAGCATGTCATACAAGTTAAAAGTGCTGAGAGAAAGTATTACATGAAAGAAACAAATTATTAAGTTTTTAAGAGCTGAAATTAGAGATTGTAAACAAAAGTTGAAAACATATTATTACAGTAAGATAATACGCAATCTTAAAGCTTAAAAAAAAAGAAACGTTTAAGAACTTTAAAAACTAAAATAAGTTAAAGTTGTATAATAAAGATATTGCATAATAAAGATATTAAGGCAAATAAAATGCTGATAGATAGTTTCGAAAATGATATAATCCAGATGGAGGAAGATAACATTACCGATGTGAATGGCTCAGTAAAGGAAAAAATTTATTCATCACATACCCAAGTAATTTATGGTATGTTATTGGCAAATGTACCAACATGTAACAAACCATTTCTAATGGAGAAAATTATGCAGTATTTGGGTGTCATTTTTAATAATGCTCCCTATTGTTGTATAATTGAACAAATGGTTCATGAGCTTGGCAGTATAGCAGAACTGCAAGGGTCAGAATGGGCTATCATTAATTCACATATTACTCTTAGATTTGATGCAACAACCCAAGAAGGTGTACATATTAATAGCATTCACTTAACATCAAAAAATAAATGCCAAGTCATTGCTCTGGATCAATTAGCTGGAGGTACAGCTGATGATTACGAAAATCATATCAGGGTGGCCACTGGTCATGGAAATCATGGAAATTATGAAAATGTCATGGAATTTTATTTGGTCATGGAAAAAGTCATGGAATCCTTAAATTTTCATTGAAAGTTATGGAACTTCATGGAACTTTTTAAAATGATCTTTATTTTTTTCTACTTTGATATTTTTAGGATGCAAAGAAATGTACTAGTATATTAAGTCCTTTTTGAAAAATATATTTTTGCAGTATAAGTTATCAGAGAAATAAGAGAAAAAGAGTTTTTTTTGGTCATGATTTCAGAACTTGCTACCAATTATTTTTTGGTTTGCATGTTTTATAATGACCAAGTTGCAAATACTTAGTGCATGACAAGTACTGAATATTGTACTCTTGTGATTTATCATAAAAATTTATGAAGTGGAAATGTTATGAAAATATCATGGAAAAGTCATGGAATTTTATTTTCTAATTTGAGTGGCCATCCTGTAAAATATTTGGTTATAATAAAATTGTAAAATATGTTTTAAATAAAGTTTTTCATTATTTTATAACCAAAATAAACAATAAAATTTCTTTAGTTAAAATTAAAAACTTTTGGAAGTACTGAGTGTTTAATTGTCTTTTTTTAATTTCTTCTTTCCTTTTATTTCCCTGCATATATGTAAAGCAGTTGATTATCTTGTTTTTATTCAGATTTTCACTTAGCTTTTTTAAACGATAGTTGTCGGTGGATCATCTCAAATATATCAAACGCAATGTCAGACAAAGTTGCAGTTACCTAAAAAAGTCGAAACCTGCATAAAGGTATTGCAAGTCATAAAACTTGAAAAGATAGTCATATCAAGTCAGGTATGCCAGTTACTAAATCATATGTTTTTAATTTACTTTTTTTCATAAATGTTTTTAGAGAAGAATAAAAATATTTGACATTGCACAAGTGTTGTGACTTGCAAAATATTTTGATAGGCGGCTCTGGCTTATCTTCTCGTGGCGTCTGTGGTTACAAGTGATTATTATAATGTTCCATTTATGAAATTGATTATTTTAATGATTTACTAAAAGCCAAGACAACTATTTAAACTTAGGGTATCTAAAATGTTTTAGTAAAGAACAATATAAAATCGTTTGTTACATTTTTTTGATAGGATACAACACTTATATTTTTGGTAATGAAATAAAACATATTTAATGAAATATCAATAAATGAAATATATTAATTTATTTTGTTTGTTAAAGATACAATTATTTTTAAGAACTCAACATTTTTTTATTTTATCTTTTTACTCTTTTCAACAAACTTCTCAACTTAACCAAAATTTACAAATAGTAGCGAAAAGACTTTCTTATTCAAAAGTAGGCTTGGTTGTGGTCTTCAACTTTAGCTTCGAGGTTTTACCTGGTGACAAAAGCCTAATTCAGGTTTTAAATTGTTAACTCATTTTAAAATAATTAAATTGTTATTATAAATATTTATATATTTAATTAATTTATTTTTTTTTGGTTGGGGGGGGGGGCAAACGCCCCTCCCAAAAGTTAATAAGCACACCACCAATAAATAAAATACTTGTAAAAAAATTTTATAATGTTTTTTATACTGTGTACTAGTTTCACTTATTTTGTTAAATATAGAAATATTTATTTATAATTAGAGAATTAAATATTTTTGAAATTAGGGTGTGTTAAATCATCACCACCATATCCACCACCAACTTTAATATACATCAATCAATGTTGTTGGTCTGGAATAAAATTATAGCAACTTTTTGTATAAAAAAAATTACCGTTTGCTGAAAAAAAACAGTCTTTATAGAAAGAAATATGCTTATTTTTAAGGTGAAAGTGGTGGTTCGGCACGCCCTTTAGCCCCCAGGAAATGTCCAATAGGTGGATGATGTTATAAATTTGTAGCCCACTGTTTCACCAATCTTTTGATGCCAAGTTATAGTTATTTAGATAAGAATTGACAAAGTTATAACAATTTAAGTGAAGAAAAATTAAATTTTGACCACAGTTTCTTCAATAAATCCATATATCAAAATTTTGCGACTAAAAACGTCATAACTTTTTGTAGAAAAGTTCAATTTTAATAACTTTTTACCTTTAGAATACTGTATTGAAGCCCTTTCCAATAATATATAACAATCTAGCCTTTGATCAATTTAAAATTTTCAACCCACATACTTATATAAATATATAAAAATGTTACAGAAATAAAATTAAAATAAATTAAGCAAACAAACATAAGTTTGTTTGCTTAGTAAACTGTTACTATAAGTCATTATAATTTTATATAAAAATACATCAGTTATCGTTATCATTATTAACTTTCTTGTCCTAATTTCTTCCTCCTGCATGACGATTCCCTTCATATTTTAACCATAACTTTATTAAGTCTTGATGAAGAGTTTATTAAGTCTTCATGAAGAGTTTATTAAGTTTGTTAGTGCCTTGAAGCAAATGTTGCAATTATTGAATTTATATGAGTTTTTATATGAGAATTTATTGAATTATATTATTTTATTATTTGAATTTATATGCAATTATTGAATTTTTATTTTTAATGATTAAGCCTCATGAAGCAATTATTGAATACAATAATTGCAACATTTGCTTCAAGGCACTTATTCACTTACACGGCAGCTGTTCAAAACAAGTTAAACAATATGTACATAAATAAACATTTATGAAAACGTACATAAATATACATTTATGTACATATTTAAACATTATCAAAGTATAAGAGCCAATATACTAATTTTAATTCGATTGTAAATTCAAAACAAACAAAATTCTCAGATAAAAACATTGCGCTAAAATAAAAATAAAACAGCATTTCAAAATGTCCGAAAACTAAAACCTGAAACACACTATACGCTTTTTAAAATCAGTTGTATTTAGACGTTGGCCCGACGTTGGTTCGACGTAAGCGCGTAGTTAAAAAAATTGCTCAACGATTCCGACTTTGGCCAACGTTATGCATGCTAGCTGGGTAAAAGACCACAAGGATAATTTTTTAAACAACTCTACAGTTCGGCTATTAAAATTCTGCAATAAACAAAGTAGGAGGAATTTCTAATGTTATTCTATCAAAAATAAATAGTGATTTTTATTCTTCAATTAATGAAAATTTACTGAACATCGATATGTCTTTGCTGAAAAATACTTAATTATAAAACAAGATGAAAAAAGTAAATACATCACGTCAGGAATTTACTATTATTTAACAATGGTGAAGCCTGGATAAAAAAAGTGTAGATTCATTTGATGTCATCATGGATGCCTTTGATGGCGCAGAAGATTGTGAGTTAGTTGAAATATTTATCTTGTTTCAATGATCACAGTCTTACAATAAAGATGAATTCGGATTGTAGAGAGATGATAGTCGACTATCATTTATAGCATTTACTATTCGCTTTTCCACAAAGACTTTTAATATTAAAAGTCTTTGAGAAAAAGCGAATAGTAAATGCTTCGCTCTTTCACGAATAAGGAGCTTCTTATCAGTAAAACAAGCTACTGTTTTATTCAATGCTTTTATACTGTCAAATTTTTCCTATTGTCCTTTGATTTGGATATTTTGTTCGAAGTATAGTAATAACCTAATTAATAAAATTCATCAAAAAGGACTTCGCATTGTCTGTAAAAGATTTGATCTCCCATTAAAAGAAATTCAAAAAATAGAAAAATCCCAAGTATCCACCTTAGAAATTTAAGGTTTTGGTAAACTGAAATTTTTAAACCTATAAATGGTTTAAATCAAGATTTTATGTTGATCTTTTTATCAAAAAATCCATGCCGTTAATTCTTCGATGTTGTAAAAAATTAGTACTCCCACCCATAGTCTCTAAACATAAGTTCATAAAAAGTAAATTATATAGAGCAACCTCGCTATGGAACTCCCTAGATAATAACTTTCTTTATTTTTTACGTCAAACATAACCAAATTGTTTTATTTATTGACATTTATATTACTTACGATGTAAACTATTTTTATTTTATTTATTTTTTATTCAGGATATGTATGTTTGTTTGTATTGTCTTATACAATTTAGTTTGTTGATTTTAATTAGTTTTTGTTGATTATAAAACTGTTATAAACAATCAACTGAAAATAAAGTTTTAAATAAATAAATAACATGGTCGACCGGCACTTTCTGGTTGGTCACGAACTTCGCAAGGTATTTAATCGAAATTCCCTTAAAATTAAAAGCATCATTAATTCGCACAATCACAGGATATTATATAGCCAAGGTAAAGGTGAGCGAATAACATGCAACTGCGTCAAAAAATCCATCTGCCCCATGAACAACCAGTGCTTAACAAAGAATATCGTTTATCAAGCCACCATATCGTCAAATAAACCTGACTACAAAGAAAAAGTATATTTTGGCTAATGTGAAACTCCATTCAAATCTCAGTATGCTAATCACCTAAAATCTTTTAACATTAATAAATATAAAAAAGATACCGAGTTGTCTAAAGAAATTTGGGACATAAAAGACAAAATGTTTATACCCTTAACTGAGTGGAAAATTGTGAAACGTTGCAATCCCTATAACCCCTCGTCAAAAATTTGCAATCTTTGCTTATACGAAAAATTCCTTATTTCAATATATAAGGGTGAAAACTTGTTAAATAAACAAAATGAGTTGATTTCAAAATGCAGGCACAAGGATAAATTCCTTTTATCTTTTTTTGACACCGGTGATTAGCTAATATTTTGTTTTTTCTTTGGTTGCCATCAAGTATGTCTTTTAGCGACGTAAAGATCTACACAGTATTTTGTCATTTTTAGCGGGTTTTTTTGTTTTTGATTTTGTATTCAATGGCAGATGATTGCCGTATACTATACGGTATAGGCATGAAACTTAAAGTGCCATCGAATATATTATATTATAATCGACTATATTATATATTGATTTTATAAGAATAATATATCGAAAAATTTTTTTTTTAAAGTTGAGGGTAGCCTTTATACATTTATTATTAACTTTTTAGTATTAGCCTCAACTTTTTTAAAAATGTATATATCTAACCTATTAAAAAAGTTGTATAAAGCGAACTTATACAACAAGTTTAATTGAAAATTCAAAACTTTAACGCAGTGTAGTATTAGTATAAATAAAAAATTTTACTTAAAGAAAAACAAAAAATGGTTAATTAATAAAAATTAATTAAAATAATTTAATTAAAATTAAATTATTTGAGCAAAATAAATTAAAAACTAATTAATGCTTAGTTTTTCAATGAAAAACATTTCTACAAAGTTTTTCAAAAAAAAAAATTATTTAGGGTAACATGGTGAGGTGTTTTATTCAGGAAATAAATCCAATAAAAGTCTATAAGTAAGAATATTTTGGTATTTAGATTTTAAACGTCTTTTTGTTGAATGAAAAGCATTGGGTACTGCAGGTGAATCAAAATATTGACTTTTACATAAAGGATCTTTGGAGCACAGCTGGAGAATTGTTTTGCGCTAAAAAATAAAAATAAAAATAATAAAAACTATACAATTATAACTAGTTTTAAAACATGTTTATAAAAATTACAAATAGATAAAAGCTTATAATACTTTTTGAAATACTACAACTTTTTCAATGTTTTATATAATTTAACTGTTTATTGGTGTTTAATTACCTGCCTAATCACATAAATATCAAAAAAAAGTCTAGGTCTGTCTTTACAAATGCTGTGTTTGTGAAAGTTTAATTCCTACTTTCTTTAACAAGTAAAGATATTGCATGTCGTTTACGTTATTCCTCCATTGACAATATATAGCATACTGTGAAATGAGTATATCAAATTATTTTGCTAAGTATTAGGCTAAACAATTTCTTTAAAGTGGAAGATTCCAATGATTACTTAGTCACTGAGGCACTTTTTCCTTTGTGCAGGGTTATAATCTATTATATTAGGAATTAAAAACTAACATATATATCATATAACTACTTGGTATGATTTTAATATAACTTTTTGTACAAATATATTTAGAAATAAAAACAAAAAATAAAAAAACTATATATTTTTCTCCAATAGTTTTCTTAAAATTTTTTCATTTACAAAAAAATACACTTGTTATATTCTAACACACTTATTATATTCTAACAAAATATAATATAGTAATTTTAAAAAATAGTGTTCAAAATTTTCAATTTTACTTCTGCATTTTTTTCTTTAAGAAAACGAATTTTTTTCAAAAAAAAAAATTCATATTTATTAAGCATAAGGCATAAATTGTTGAAAATATGATTATTTATTATATTCTCTATTTATTACAAGAATAAAAACGAATTTTATATATACAATACTACAGTATTTAGTTAAATTTAAATCATATTTTTTTTACATCTTTAAAATAAATGGTTATTTAGAAAACAATCTCTTCTATTTGCTGCCTTGGGTGACTGAGTGTTATTCGTTAGTTTTGTGTTATATATTTTTTATTAGACAGCTTTACTTGACATAAATTTGTCAAGTAAAGCTGTCTAATAAAAAATATTGGTGAAACAGTTGTAATCCGACAACTGTTAAATATTAGGAAAACAATTTATGAAACTTTTTTTGATTGTCTAATTTCGACTTAAAGTCCATTTAACTCTAGATTGGTTTAAAAAAATAAAGATTTATTTTAACTTTTGTTTGTTTGTTTCTTTTTGTTTACCCTTTAAATATTATGTTAAGCAATCAAACTGTAACCTGGTCCGGTTGTATGTTTGATACTTTCCTTGTAGAATTTAAGGTTTTTTTTGTATATTCTTTTTAGCACCTTAAATATAAAAAGTTACTTTAAAAAAATATTTAAAAGATGTTTTATTGAAGAGATATCCATAAAAGATGTCTTATTGAAGAGATATCCATAAAAGATGTCTTATTGAAGAGATAATCATAAAAGTTGTCTTATTGAAGAGATATCCATAAAAGATGTCTTATCAAAGAGATATCCATAACAGATGTCTTATTGAAGAGATATTCATAAAAGCCAATAAAGATGTCTTATTGAAGAGATACCCATAAAAGCCAATAAAGATATCTTATTGAAGAGATATCCATAAAAACTAATAAAGATGTCTTATTGAAGAGATATCCATAAAAGCCAATAAAGATGTCTTATGGAAGAGATATCCATAAAAGATGTCTTAATGAAGAGATATCCATAAAAGCCAATAAAGATGTCTTATTGAAGAGATATCCATAAAAGCCAATAAAGATGTCTTATTGAAGAGATATCCATAAAAGCCAATAAAGATGTCTTATTGAAGAGATATCCATAAAAGATGTCTTAATGAAGAGATATCCATAAAAGCCAATAAAGATGTCTTATTGAAGAGATATCCATAAAAGCCAATAAAGATGTCTTATTGAAGAGATATCCATAAAAGCCAATAAAGATGTCTTAATGAAGAGATACCCATAAAAGCCAATAAAGATGTCTTATTGAAGAGATATCCATAAAAGCCAATAAAGATGTCTTATTGAAGAGATACCCATAAAAGCAAATAAAGATGTCTTATTGAAGAGATATCCATAAACGGTTTAAAATAAGAAATTTAAAAAGTTTAAGGTTGACAAATGTTGAGATGGAAAATTTGCTATCCTAAGATCAAGCAACTGAATACGACATTTAAAATAAAAGTATTTTTTTCAATTTGTTATTTAAGATTTTTTAACTGATAAATTCATTCCATCAAAAATTCAAGTCTGCAAAACCAGCAAGGGACTTAAAGCACCAGACGCATCAGAGATTTACTTGCATATATTTCAATCTCTATTCTTTATTAAATCTTTAAAAACGGATAAAATATCACCTCAGTCAATATTAGGTGTTTAAAAATTCTTTCTTATGATCTATATTGTGTTCCGTCAATTTGTTCTTGTTTTGACAGATCTGAAATATTTGTCACCTTTTTGTCGTTCCTAACGTGATGTTAAAGATATCAGCGAGTGTGATAAAATTACGTAAAATAATGGTGACTATTCTATGTATATTTTACATAAGCGCATTCATGTTACAGTACGTTCATGTAAAACACTCTACAAAAACATGTAATTAATATGTTTTAACTAGAGACCTTTTAACTTTGACCTTAATTGTTTAAATTTTTGTATACAGGTTTTTATTTGTAAACTGATATTATAATTTATAAAATTAAGAGTATTATTTGTTATATATGTTTCATTATGGATGTAACATAACCCAATGCTTATTGTAACAGTTCGGAATTATTTAACTGCCACATTGGAAGATAATTGAGGTTAGAGTATCTCTCAATTTATGAGTTCAGTATTTTATTCTCATTTCTATTTTTATTTTTTAAAACTAATTATTTAAAGTAAGTATTTTTAATGGCAATAATTTTTGTAAACACTTTGTTGTCGATTTTGAATAATGTAACTTCTGTAATTGTAACTTTTTATGTTATAATATAAACGCTGTCTGATTCAACTACTATTTTGTTAAAATAATATTTTCAACATACCGCTGCTGTAAATGACTCTCTTGATACATCGACTGGATTTTTTTGGTTTTGATATCTGCTAGCAATGCAAATTACATTTGACGATATAGCGAACGCAATCATAAATTTTAGTCTCATCATTTTTTTAAAATCTTAAGCTACAAATAGAATGTGAAGTAAATATAAGTAAAAATTTACATGATTTATATATATATATATATATATATATATATATATATATATATATATATATATATATATATATATATATATATATATGTATATATATAGTTAGAAAGAAAGAGAGAGAAAATCCAACAACGAAAGAAAAATTATTTATTGACTGTAAAGAATCTTCCCTGTGGGAATTGAACATAGCGTCTCCACATGATTTCGTTAAAAATGATTTAACAACATTATGACTAACTTTTAACGAATCATTTTGACTAATAAAAATTATTAAGTATTTTTGAATAAAAAAATTAATAAATCATAAAAAAGTTAAATTAGAAATTTCCGTTATGTAAAAAACCTATACTTTATAATAAGTTTTTATATTCTTTTAAACTTCGCGTCATAACGTGGGGATGTGACGTAGTACAGTTTTTAAAAATTTTGATAAATGGTGTTTTAGCTACTTTGGTACTTTTGTTTAGAGTGGTTTTTGTATTTTTTGAATTTGCAAAAAGTAGCTCTAAAAAGTTGGATGTATTTCTTATAGTTTAGAAACAACTTTTTATTACACAAGCATAGATCATACTTTCAAATAGATAATATAATTTATTTTTATAAATTTGTATGAAAATATGTTTTAAAAAATCTTAAAAAAAATCTTTTAACGTTTACATTGATGTTACAGTCATAATAATATAAAAATATGACAAATTGCAATAGAAAAAAAAACTCAACATTAATGGTGTAAGACATATTGTAAAAAAAAAAGTGTGTAAAAAAAGTTTTAAAAATTAGACATCGGTTAAAACAATTTTAGAATTAAAAATTTTCGTAAAAGTTGTTTATTTTATTATTTGGAGTATAAATGAAAAACTTTTTTAAAAACAACAATTCAATCGTTAAAAGCAACTTGCAGTAGCAAACCAGAAAACAAAGTTAGATGCCAATAACAATACATATCGTTTTTCATTGGCGATATCCGCGATATCCGCAATATCATGGCGATATCCGCGATATCCGCGAGTTGAAATGTAGAACAACGTCAATTTCTTTTACACGTTGTTTAACGACTCAAAAAGAAAAAGAAATTTGTTTTGAAATTTCTTTTTAATCTATTAAAACAGTAAAAAGAATTTCAATTATATTTTAGCCATCAAAACTTATTTAAAAAAAAAAAAAATTAAAACATATTGCACATATGGCTTGATGTTGCTATATTTTTAATACAGTGACAAGAAACCCTTTTTTAGAACATTTGAGCAAATTTTATTCTGATAATGCTTAAAGTATTTCAAGAAACATAACAAAAAATTAGTTTTTTCAATTTTTCATAAAATACGTAACATTTTTTAAGATAAAGAAGTAAATACCAGCAAAATTAAAATTTTGGTTTGGTTATTAATAGAACGTGTCTCTATAAATATGCCTTTGTACTACCGTATTTTTAATACGGTGTCTTCTAAACAATAAACGATCTTCTAATAATCCCAAAAATGCTCCAAGAAACATCATATTCGATTTTTTAATTTTTCATAGTGTGCACATTGTTTTTAAAGCAATGAAGCGAAATCCAATAGCATTTATGCTTTTTTGATAAAATATCTCGTTGTAATTAGCTATAAGATTATATTTTTAATAAGCGCCAGAATAAAGATTAATCAGCATGAGTCTTACCCCCTGCCCATTTGAAACAAAATAAAAAACTAAAAAAAAAGAAGAATTAAATGTTTAATTATAGATAAAATAGTAGTTATTTGCAATATATGTATATATATATATATATATATATATATATATATATATATATATATATATATATATATATATATATATATATATATATATATATATATATATATATATATATATATATATATATATATATATATATATATATATATATATATACATATATATATATATGTATATATATATATATGCCACCTTAGGGAAAAAATTAACTGGAGTAATTTGTTTAAAACAAAATATAAATCACCTTAGCAAGTCAACACTATCACTATTGTTAAAGTTACATAAAGAAAAACAAATAACGTGATAATATTTGGCATACCTGAGCAAGAAAGTAAAAATCTAAATAGTGACCAAAAATTAAAAGTGGTAAAACCATTTAATTCAATACAAGTCTGTGGAAGCCAAAAATGAACAAACATACCTTAACTAATTCAATTTCAACAACAGTAACTCCACCAAATCATAGCAAAGGTACCATAGTCCTAATAGAGTTAAATAATTTCATTTAAAAACATTGGCATATAAAATTCGCCGAATGGTCACACACGAGCAGTGAACACCTAAGGGAAGAAATGAAGTACATTAAAGGAGAATTATTTATTTATTTTATTTTATTTTAATTCACCTCTTCAAGGCCGAGAAGGCCACTACAGACGAGGAGGCTACTTATTTGTGGTTATAACCCTCTCTCAACTCTATAACTCCGAAACACGAACCTTGACGAGCAAGGCCGCTGCGCGGAGAAACGAGTTGAGCGCGGTACTACCAGGGACGTGGTGGGGATTGATTACTATTTTTACGATATTTACTAGACAAAGCAAATTTTGACAGTTCTCAAGACAAAAATAAATATTAATAGAGGAATATTTAAAAATAAATAAGACAGGCTATACACCCAAAACACTAATCAACAATAAAAGCAATAACAAAAAAAAATTAAAAAAATAATGATAAATCAATAGAATCGTTTTATAAACACCAATATGAACAAAGATATACAACAAATACATCACCAGACAAAAACTTATAAAACAAAAAACCGATCACAAAATAAAAAGTATGCTTACAACAATGAAAGGCCTAATAATGGAAAAAAAAAACATTAATGCTAATGTGTAAACATAATTTGTGTAGTGAATAAGAAATAAACATTTCCTCAGTGTCGCGTCTATCATTACTGGCGTTTCGATGAGGATCAGCGTTTATAGCTAGTTTATGCCGTCAGACGAACGTCAGCGCCACTCATTTTTTTACCCCGCGACTTTCGCCTATTCCATACTGCAGTAAAAAAGGACTCACTACAAATAGCGAAAACCCAACCAATCCTAATTTTGTATAGCACCAATATTTTTTTTGATGATATGATATAAAAAGTATAGATCTACTCAACGAACAAAAATAAAAATAACTAAATAAAACACTTACCATACCACCAAAAGAAAGCATGAAAACAAAATAAATAAAATTCTTATAGAAACATAAAAATATTAATAAATTTATTTTAGGAAATAAAACCAAATAGGTATTATTAGCATAAACAAGCCCAAGATAATCAGAAAGCAGTATACCTTATTAAAAAAATTTTTTAATCAACAAAACAACAATAGCCTTAAATAAACTCTAACGCTGTCATAGATACCTTATTCGAACTATGATAACCAATCAAAAGTGTAAGAAAATGAGCAACCCGCGAAACCCAAAATTATAACATTAATTGAATAATATATGATAGCAAAAAAGAACGTTGCCCAAAAACCTTAAAAATGTAAGTGACATATATGTGAACATTTAATAAAGGATATAAAAACATTCTCTGAATAAAAATAAAGATGAAAATTGTGCACGTGAAAATTAAAGCTGAGTAATGAATGCAAGATAATATAACATAAAAGTTCCTTGTTAACGGTAATAATACGAAAATCAGTAGATAAATAATATATTAATATATATTGCAATAAGACTAACTAAATATTGTAATAAAACCAGATAAATTTAAACCAAATGAGTGGTTAAAAAATTAGTTGTAGGTAATATAGCAATAATATAAGTCATGATATAAAAACGATGTACAAAGCGGGAAAAAAAAATTGTTAAAAAGTGAAGTTTTTCTACGGTCCGAACTAAAAGAAACTTTGAGACCATACCTAAATTGAAATTTCCGAAAAGTAAAGTTGAATCCTTAAATGAAAAACTCAATCACACATGATAACCACATATACATAACATACATATGTATATCTACATTTCAACCTCATATTATCTATTAAAAGAAAATACTATCTAAATAAGGATGAGTTCAAACAAAGATAGTTTATCTATGAATGCAAAAAAAAGCATGTAAACGATGTAAACAGGCTGTATGCGCATAAGGGTGTATAGATGTAATGTGTAAGTCTGTGCTGTTTATGTCGTTCAGTTGAGTCTTGTATTGTTAGTAACCAGCGTAAAAGATTTCTCTCTGAACTAAACCAAGCCAGCCTAGCCATACTCCAGAAAACCATGATAGATTAAACACCTATGCATGGATTTATAACTGACTTATGACTAAAAAGCTCACCCAGGCATCTTCTACAGACAAACATCCTCTTTTGCGGATGATTGCGATTAGGAAAATAGTTGTGCTCGATGACCGTAACACTAACCCTTACGGGCTAGGCCCAATGTTATTTAAAAACTTTGGCATATAAAATTCTTTGAATGGCCACACACAAGCCGTGAACGCCTGAGGGAAGTAATAAAGTATATTAGAATAAAGGAGAATTATTTATTGAACAAATCATATTTTGACAGTCGTCAGACAAAAATAAAGACTAATAGAGGAATATTTGAAAATAAATAAGACGGGCTATACACCCAAAACAGTACTGAACAATAATAGCAACAAAAAAAAAAAAAAAAATGTTTTATAAACACCAATATGAATGAAGATATACAACAAATACATCACCAGACAAAAACTTATAAAACAAAAAACCGATCACAAAATAAAAAGTATGCTAACAACAATGAAAGGCCTAAGAATGGAAAAAAACATTAATGCTAATGTGTAAACATTATTTGTGTAATGATTAAGTAATAAACATCTCCTCAGAATCGCGTCTATTATTACAGGCGTTTTGATGAGGGTCAGCACTAATTAGTTTTGTCACTTAAGTTTTAAATAACCAAAGTTTGGTCACTTAAGTTTTAAATAATCAAAGTTTGGTCACTTAAGTTTTAAATAATCAAAGTTTGGTCACTTTAATTTA